GAAATTGGGCTATTGAGTTTGCGTGTGAATGTGTGCATTTTGGACTAACTAAAGGCATCGTCAAATCAGCTCATTTTATCCAACTTTAAAATTTGGTTAAATCGCACTGAATCATTTTCCCAAAATATCCTCTGGAGCTCGAAAAGAACTACACTTCGCCTTCCCAAAGCCCGGTTTTCAGTCCATAATTTTATTTAGCACATAGTTGAATAACGGGTTACTTTTGACCCAGTTAAATCTTGTAAGAAGAAGGTTGGATAAATTCAATGAGATTGTATTGGTAAACGACCAAGGATTACTTAACACATGTATAGATGTTTTTTTTTTTCAAGATTTGGTACTTTTTATCATTGACCTAACTTGAGAATATGAGCCCAATCGATTTTTTGGCTGTTGCCAACTGAAAATGAAAGACTGAAAATGTTCAATTTTTGGTCACATTTGGTAAGATCTCCTGGGCATAAGCAGAGGAGAAAGACATATTTCTTCAGATATGTATAATGATATCTTACCATGCTTCCTCCACAACTGCAGTTGTCCTAGGAGCTCTGTTTTCTCTGCTGGGGCAAATCCTAGGTCCTCAACCAAGGTCCGCATTCGATCATAACATGTGTTATATTTCACTTCTGTCCATGACGCATAGTCGCAATGGGCCCAATCATTTCGTACTTCAGATCTCACAAGTTCAGCTGACGGTGCCGCAGAGCTGAATGGTGGAGCACAGCAAAGAACAGCCAGAGCCGCTGAGGCATCAAAAGAAGTATCCAATGCAGTGAAATTTGCTATGAAAGGTTTCACGAACAACTTAGCCAATGACACTTCATCTTTTACACAGTAGTCAAAGCGACGAGTGTCTCGACCCAAGGCGATGTTATTGTTGATACTTTCGTAGTTCAGCTTCAGTGTACTCGGTGGAATGGTTTTCTGGTGAGTTGAATAGGTTTGCTTGTCTAAGGCATATCTTGCCACCAAATTCTTGTAAAATGGCGTCATATCCTGTTGAATCTTATTTCTGAGATGAGGCATGAGAACTCTGTGTAGAACAGTGCCAACCACTAACCACCGTCGATGTTCTGTGTCTCTCCCGGGCAATGAACCCATGCTCCTTTTTTTTTTTTCTTTTTTGCCTCTAAAGTCACAAGTTTACTCGGCACCTAGAAGGTAGACAGCTTTAATTAGCATAAAGATAAGTAACATGGTAGCTCATGTCATAAGCATATTTAGTCTCGACGGTTTTGATTGAGTTGTTGTCATTGAAAGTTTCTTCCCCTTGCAGAAATTTTTTTGTAGTTTTTATATTTTTAAGACATGAGCGGTCTGTGTCGTATGAGGTGTTAACTGTTAATGACTAGCCTTATGGCTACATTCGCTAAATTAGAACTCTCTCTTTCGTCGTCTGTACCATTCTTTCAACGCTTGAAAAATCCAGTTAATCCACACTTGTAAACTGCCAGATTTTCCAAATCCACAATTTTAAAATTTCCACTATCATACTTTTTACTTACCTACTTCCAAACCCCAACATTACTTCATTTGAAAGCTTCAGCCTTTCTAATTCATTTCGTGTTTTATTTTCGTTTGATTTATTTGAAATTATTTAAGTCATTATATCGTCAACACTTTCAAGTATCCAAACCATCGAACTTCCACCGCATTTTGGCAACTTTTTTAATTTATACTCAGTTACTCCCCCTTCTAATTTAAACCTCAAATCTTTTCTACTTCATGATTTGAAAAATGTAAAACCTGAAGACCGCACTCGTACTTATACATGTCTCAACTTCCCCACTTCTGCTTCTACCCTCCAAACATCTCTTCACACTTCCTCCACTCTCCTCAAGTTCCTATACACCGAATGCAAATATGGCGCCATTGTTGTGGACTCACTAGCCTCGTCTTCACATGGAAATACAAAAGGATTATTACATACGTGAGAGCCTAGTCAGTCCAGAACAGTGGCAACTCAAATTGGACGCCATATTTGCATTCGGTGTATAGTTCCATAATTCCACGCGTCCACTTTACCTAGGGGGGGGGGGGTATTACATGGCAACCTTCAGCCCCGTTACCCGGGCTAAGATTTCAGCCTGGGTTCCGCAAGAAATCGTCTAGAAAAGTAAGTCGCGATTACACGGAGAAGGTTTTGGCCCGGGCTGAAAATCCTAGCCTGCTTTCTGAAACGGAGATTTGGTCTTCAACCTAGGCAAACGAACTGAAAAATTTTGCGAATGAAATACCAGCGCGGGCTGAAAAGGCAACGAAGCATTCGTAGTAAGGGTGTGTTCTAGGAAGCAATACGGCTGCAACGGAGAAAAGATTTCAAAGGAATAAGGGCGATAAAATTTGGAATCTTATTCGATGCTTTGCTAATGTTGAAGCTAAAATGGAATACAACAACAGTGACTGCATTGCAGACAAGATTAAGCAGTAGGAAGCTGTTTGGGACGACCTGGCTCGGATACATGAAAACCCGTGAATCAAAGTATTGCACCCAATTTCACGTGTCCTTGGCTCCATTTTGATATATCAGTGATTCTATGCGCGCATTTTCATATTTGGCGCCCGAGCTTATATTTCGGCCCAGTTTGATATTTGTCATGTAATATGAACAATATTTCATTCTGCCCCCCCCCCCCCGGGCTAAAATTCGCCATGTCATCACCTCTCTTTATTTCAAGATACAGTCTATGAGCTGTTACTTGAAATGAGGCTTAAATTTGAAAAGGGTTCTCAAAACCGTCTTCCAAAAGTGGGAATATCGATTAAAAAAATTCGATCTTGCTTAGGAAGGGCTTACATAGCTTTGTTTTTTTGGGGTAAAACTTTCTTCAAGAACAACATTCACACGACAACTGCTTTAAGTTTGTCGTACTCAGAAGTCGCGAGAACTCTAGACGGTCGAGTGAGGATGAAATACGTCCTAAAATGCCCTAACTTGACGGCTTACACGCTGGAATTAAAACTTGACTTAAAATAGGAAAATCAGAGTCCCGTCATAAAGAATATGAGGAGCTAACCGATGTAAAACTCTTGTTTTACTTCCCAGCCCTGCAACTTCCCGTTTCAACAACTCACGGTTTCGAAGCGGCAAAACTATCAAATAAGATGTTGCCTATGTATCGAGTTAGGATTTCGAGTTGGATTTCGAGTTGGATTTTCGAGTTGGATTTTCGAGTTAGGATTTTCGAGTTGGGATTTTTTGGCGGGATTTTCTTAGGGAAATTTTTAGAATCAGACACAACAAAAGGCAAATATATAAATCCTGTAATCCCACCATGTTTTTAAGACCGACAAATGGCACCAATGCTGCTTTACAGTGCTAGTAGTTTATGTATGACAGTCCAGCTCACTTTTGTAAATTAATCAATCAGCTCAGTGAAATTTTTAAAAAAAAATTTTTTGCATCTAATTCCCGTTAAAAAATTTTCCCAATTAAAATTTACAAGATACGGAACACTGTTCGCCATAATTTTTTTATGGTTGTTACAGAAACATTTTTTAGTTTTACTTTTTTATGTTTGAAACCATATGGAAATGATGATCAATCCTGTCATCATATTTTTTCTTGGTTCTTTTTTCATAGCATAATCTAAAATCTTTTTCCAGGTAAGTGTTAACGATTTTTTTGTCTTTGCGTGTTATCTTATTTTCATGTACAAGTGTGATTCTCTTTTTCGTTCCGTTTATGATCTGTCTCATAGTATCTTTGTTTAAGTATTCGGAATTTTCAACATTAAGAGAAAATCCTTTTACTTTGCAAACGATTTTTTCATTGGATGTCATATAACTATACGACTTAGGTCCAGAACCACACCATTCAGTAATGTATGCTCCTTTTTATTCGTCGGTTAAATCACCGAGACTATCACCTGTTTCGATACTTACGCCGTCATTGCAATCGACATACCAACAACTGTCTGTGTCATAGCCTAATACTATTATAGTCATTTTTTGGCCAAGAATAATTCATGAGTTCGGTAAAAATTCTTACTTTACTTTCACTATCAAACTCTAATTCTGGATAGAAAAATCCGTTCCCATATTCTAATCGGCAAGTACTTAGAGAGCTATTATTATTAGTGGCATTTAGTTTGAAAGTATCAAATTTATAGGGATTTTCTGCAATATTAAGAGTCTTATTTCTCTGTAAATAGACAAAGACAGCTTTTGCATTCTCAACACTAGCTGAAATTTGATAAGAACCACTATTTCTACGAGGAGGTGAGACCTGGTACATCTCTCTTGGATAAGTCCACTTGCTCGGTTTCTGAAACTCTCTTACGTATTTACTCATTAATTCAATTCTTGGCACCCATAAGAGAAATCTGTCTATGACAACTCGACCATTTTCACTACAATTACCAGCAAGACCAGTTGACATTAGTAATTCATCATCTTTTGAGCTACAATGAATATATGAAGTTCATATATTTTGAACTGCGGTATTAGATACGTATGATGCACGATCCTCGCAGTAGATAGCGCTATTTAGTATATACTAAAACAGTGGATAGCTTTGAAGGCGCGCTCTGATTGGCTACTCAAACTCCGAATATCCTTTGCTATTTACCTCCGAGCAACTCGGGAAAAAATGGCGTGCCGGTTTGCATCCGTGACAAGCGAATAAATCACTCAAATAACGACGAAGCAGTCCCTGAAAACACAGAAAGCGACTAAATTTGGTTTGGCCGTGTTTAAAGATAATGGTAACCGGGAGTTTATCGATAAAAACCAATGAAAAAGGTTTTGTTTACAAATGCAAATTAATCTTGCGTAACCTCACTTGTTCACTTGAAAATCAAA